CTGCTCTGCGTATGGGTGGGGTGGAGTGCTGGGGGGGGGGTGTCCAAGTGTCTGAGTGGAGAAGCAGACCCCTCGAGGGGTCTTGCAGCTTCTCGCTTGCATAGGAGCAGGACTGCAACCCCACCTCACCTCTGCTCCCCATCACAGAGGCATATCGCGGCATCACTCCTCAGAATTTGGACCCCCACCCACTCTTTCCTATCCCCATCCCTGGAAGCGGCCAGTTTCTCTTCATCTGTAGGTCTTACCCACACTTCAGTGCTCTTTCTAATAAAAAGAATCATAATGATAACTACAGATCATGGAATACATCCTCTCGGCCAGGCATCTTGTTTCATCTTGGCAGTGACCTTATGAAGTAAATACCATCATTATTCCCATTTTACAGATGAGGAAAACGGAGGCTCAGGAAGGTGAATGAAGTTATCAAAGGCTTCTCGCTTGCTTTTCACAGCAGTAGAAGAAGACTCAAATGTAGGACTGTGTGGCTCTGGGGCCCATGCTCCGTCTATTTTGTAGAGCTGGTAGTATTGTGCCCCGCTCCATGTCTGCCCTTTGGCCAGGAGTCCTGGGGGGAGAGCACAGACTGGATTTTTTCCTACCCAAATCCTCAGTCCCTGGCACGGAGGAAATAATAGTGTTTGTTAAAAGACTAAATCTTGTTGGAAGATCAAAATGTACCTTTATCCCTCCCCTGTCCCTTGGCCCTCTGCCTATCCTCCCAGGCCTTGTAGCAGCCGACACTTGGCATGTGAAGAGCCTTGCATGTGTCCATTCTCAGCCGGGGCTAGGGCTCAGAGGAAGGAACTGGCTTGTGACTTTGTCTGTCCTGTAGCTCTCCTCCAAAGGAAGCCCCTCCCCAGGCCCGCCTGGGCCCAGGGAAATGTCCTTAGTCCCTAGAGGAGATAATGCCTTTGTCCCTACTCAGATAAACAAACAGAGCTGCTAGATGTGTAAGTAGAGGTGCAGGAGCAGCGCCCCGCCCGCGGAGATGGGCCCAGCCTTCCTTTTAAGGTCACCGGCAGAAGCCAGAGGACCGCAAGGCCCAGTTCGATGGAAAGGTCAAGCTTAGCCCATTTTGTAGATGGATAAACAGGCCCAGAGCAGGGAGGCCTTGCCCCCATGCCACCAGCTGCCCTGCCTTTTCCCACACAGAAGCACAGAGCCCCGGGGTCGTACCATTCGGGGGCACTCTTCGTAATGGGGCCTCTGTATACGCACCCCCTAGAGTCTGGTGTCAGAGCAGGCTTTCCGCATCCCTGTGCTCACATGCACGCCTCACCACCACCCGTGACTCTGGGCCCCTATAGACCCTTCTACTCTCGCCACCCCCACCCTGCACTGTCAGAGCAGAGCCACAGGAAGCAGGGCCAGCAAGTGTGCAAACCGAGAGCCAAGATGGGGAAGTTTATTTTCCAAGAATCATCTAAACACATGGGGAGTATTTTTAGTCCCTGGCTCCCACCCAGATGCCAAATCTAAACAGGGAGCCAGAGGGAGGCCAGAGAGACGGGCCATCGGGGAGACAGAGCAGCCAGCGGAGACAGGGTGGGACAGGGTGCTACAGACCCCCCCACCCCTGGTCCAAAGATACCTCCCTGCGAACTGCCACAGGCCAAAAGTGGGAGCTGGGGAGGTACAGAGAAGTGAGCCCAAATTCTGACAGGTCCCCTTGATGGAGGAAAGATGTTAGGGTTCAAAGCCAACGGCCAAGAATTCTTGAGATGTCATTGCTGCAAAAAGGTAGCTTTATTAAAGCACAGGGACAGGACCCATAGAGCAGAAGGAGCTGCACTAGGGTCCTGAGGAGTGGCCCATTATACACTTGCAAGTTGGGAGAGGGTTAGGGACAGAACAAACTTCCAAGGTCTTTTGGAAACAAGGTTTCCAGGATCCTGAGGGGGCTAACTATTGTTAGAAAAAGGGCATTTGGGCGCCTGGGTGGCTCAGCAGGTTGGGTGGCTGCCTTTGGCTCAGGTCGTGATCCTGGAGTCTCAGGATCGAGTCCCGCATCGGGCTCCCTGCTCGGCAGGGCATCTGCTTCTCCCTCTGACCCTCCCCCCTCTCATGCTCTCTCTCTCTCTCAAATAAATAAATAAAATCTTAAAAAAAGAAAAGAAAAGAAAAAGGGCATTTATTACTGTTTCGTAAAAACTCAAGTGAGGAGACCCTTCAGATGTGTATCAGTGGGCCGTATGCTTAGAAGAGGATTCCTAACATGTATCTTGGTTGGGGGTGGGAGTAGAGATAAAGGGAGCTTCCAAAGAAATTTCTGCATGTTTAAAGTAGACTCCAGGATCCTGGAGGGTCGGGCTAGGGATTGCCTTTGCCCCTTATCAAAGTGTCAAAATCAAGGCAGTTAAGTCCCTAGAGAAATGTCACTCGGCCTGTCAATGGGCTGTAAATAGTAAGGAAACTGAAGAATTTTTCTTCTGCCTTTGTTTCCCACAGCACCCTAACCTCTCTCTCTGCCTCAGCATCTCGTCTGTGCAACAGAGGAAGAACACCACCCTTACAGGATTGTAGTGAGGCCCATGTCTGGCACTCAGCGGGCATCCAACGAATGTGTCTCATGGTCTGCGCTGGGAGCCAGCAACCCCAGAGAAGTCAGGTGGTGACCCAAACTATCAGGCACTGAGCCTTCCCCAGGCCTGGCCAGCCGCAGTGAGTGTGTGTGCAAGTGTGTGTGTACACATTGTATGCCCAGTGCGGTGACCAAGGGGCAGTGGAAGTAAATGAAAGCAGGGCTGTGGGGAGGGTAGGCTGGGCCCTCTTTCTGAATAAGGGGGCCCCTGGTAGCCCCCTAACATCTCTGGCAGAGTTGTGTCAGGAGCCAGGCTCGGTCTCTAGAAAGGGGTCTGCCCAGGGTGGTGGCGCAGCACGGAAGGATTGAATTGACTCAGAAGAGGAGACTCTCTAGAACCCACACACCCCACAAGAGGGATTGCCTGTCAGGCTCAACCTCCAGGGTGTGGGAGCCAATTCCAGGAAGGGCTCCTGCAGCCACTGGCCAGGAATGACCTTGCTATGAATCACGTGCTGACGGCACTTACTGGGCCTTAGGCGTGAGGGAGGGCGGACACAACTCAGGGAAGAGGTTTCAGCCCTGGGACCGGAACAAGCTGTGCCCGTCCTGGCACCCACTGGCCAGGTTTATTACTGTGGGGTCAGGGGGACGAGGGAGGGTCACGTGCCTTCCCCCTGGGCTCCTTGAGTCCCTTGGAGAGAGCTGGGGCTTCCGGGTCCTGCTGCCCTGTTACTCACTGAATGCCGCCTGGAGGGCCTGGATGGGTGGCCGTGGGGCTTAGTGGTGGGGGGCACAGTTGGGATTTCTGAGAGCCCTGAGCCTCGGGTGGGAGGGGGTACTCTCAGATCCCCCAGGGGCTGCACCAGGAACCAAAGAGAACAGGTTTGGTGTCCACACACCCCCTGCTGACACAGGCTGCCTGCTGTTGCCATGGTGATGGTAATACCACCCCCCCTCACGGCTACGTGGTCACCGGCACGAAGGGAGGGGGGTGCTTATTCTTGGTCACGAAGGGGAAAAGGGGAGGGGAGGCTCTGGAGGGGAAAAGGGGCGGTCAGGGGCTCTGAGAGTGTCAGGGCAGCAGAAGGCGTAGAGGTCACCTCCACCAACCAGATCCCTCCAGAGACTGAGGGCTTGCAGGGGGTGGGGGTGGAGGGGCTTCTAGCACCAGGTAATGGGATCCCTCAAGTGTCCGATTAGCTTGCATATCTTCCTGTGGGGAAGTTCACCACCTCCAGATGGTAGAACCTGCTAGAACTCACCCCTCCCCCAGGGACCCCTCTTCACCCAGCAAGCCTCATTTTCCTCCCCTTCCCCGAGCTCATGCTCCACAATCCAGCCCTGCCCTGGATGATGAGATCCCAGAGCCTGGGGCCCCTCGACCCCTGCTTGCCTGGCTTGGGACCTGTCCTTGGGCCCCTTATCTCCTTCTCCCTCAGTTTTCTGGACCCTCCTCCTCCCCATACCTGCCTCCTCCTGGTCTCACAAAGTGTCCAAAGACCCTCGGATTCACCTTGGATCACTGCAGCTGCCTCCCCTCCCCCTGCCCCACTGCAGCCCCTGCTTCCCCCAACGGAGCGCATCAGACCCCTCTGCTCTAGCCTCTCATGTTCAAAACCAGCATCCTTACAATGTCCTCCTACAAGCCCTCCCTGCCCCCCACACACTTAACCTCTCCCTTTTCCCCTTTACCTCTCCCACTCCCCTGCCCTCCAGCTCTCTCTTGAGGGCTTTCTCCTTCCCTCACTCCACTCCTGCTGGCCTCCCTGCTCTTCCTCTGACTGGCACCCTTCCCTCCCCACAGGAACACCTGCTGGCTCCCAGATGGCCCCCCTCCCTGGCCTCCTTCAAGTCTTCCCGATGTCCCTTCCGGCTGAGACCTTCCCTAACCACCTTCCCTTCCCGATTATCCTTTTCCATAGCTCTTACTGCCTTCTGATACGCTGTATGATGTTTATTTTATTCATAGTGACTCCAGCTAGACTGGACTCCAGGAGGGCCAGCATTTTTCGTCTGCCTTCCCTGCCACATCCCCGGTGCCTAGAACATAGGCGCTCAAGAAATATTTGGGCAAAGAAATGAACCCCCTGGCACCTACCTTGCCTAGGCTGCATGCACACTCCAGGCCGAGGACAGAGGAGACAGTGCTGGGCTGGGGGCTGAGGCATCTCTGCCAGAGCCCCACCATGTGGCCTCCATCCAGCCTGCTCTCTGTTCTGAGCTTCGGCTTCCTCCGTTATACAGTGAGGAGGCTGGATTGGAACTTCTATGGCTTTCTCTGTGTTGAAACTCAGAGCTGTCTTTGCATCTCTCCAAGTGGGGTATAGACAGGGAGTTCACAAAGGTGAGAGGGGGTGCCTCATGGTCCCTGCTCAGAAGAAATCTCCAGGACTTCAGGCCCCTCCCCTGGAACGGCGGCGAGTTGAGGGGAACAGGGCAGGGATAGTCACAGAAACTAAAAATAGACCTGAGAAAGTTTTCTCCAAAAATATATCCATTTAATCATCATCAAAATCCAAGCTAGGAAGCCTGAGGAATGGAGGCCCCAGGCCTCTACACGCTGAGAGCAGAGGTCAAGTGTCCAGAAGGTAGCGATCATCGGAGGAAGCCAGCCGTCAGGCAGGTGAGCGTGGGGACCATCAGGGTGGGCAGGGGCAAGGGAAGCAGCTGTCCTGGGGCCTGAGACTTGAACACGAGGCGCTGCCCCTGGTCCTGCAAGGGCCTGACGTTATCTGTCATTCTCAGTATCTGCTCCTTATCATAGTACAGCTTCTTGGAGAATGTGAGGATCTGTGGAAGGGACCGGGCTCAGCAGGAAGCCAGGAGCGAGCAGACCTGTGCTCCCTGCTGTGTGACCCCAGGCCAGTCACCTTGCCTCTCTGAGCCCTCTTTAGTAAAAGGGCTCAGAATCCCTAGCTCTCAGGTTTCTTTTTGTTTTGGTTTTGTTTTTTGTTGTTTTTTTTTCCCCTAGCTCTCAGGTTTTTGTGCAGATGAAAAGAATAAGGGATGTAGAGTGCTGGGCACTGGTAGGGGCTTAGTTCCCGTTAGCTTCCCTTAGCCAGGTGGACACACAGCTCATGGTTTTGAGGGCCCATAATCACTGATCACTGCTGTATTATCACTTACTATAGAACAGTGGTTCTCAGACTTGAGCGCGTGAGCATCACGGCGGGGCGGGGCGGGGGGGTGCCTGTTGGGCCCCACATTGCCAGGCCCCACCCCTGGAGTTTCTGATTCAGTAGGACAGGGTGGGGGCAGTGAGTTCCGAGAAATGAAATGTCTAGCATGTTGATGCCACTGGACCAGGGACCACCCTTTGAGAGCCACCGTTCGGCAGTAAAAGTATCCCTGGAGCAGGGATCTGGGCCCTTGGGTTCACGGCTGTATCCCTGGAGCCTAGTGGTTGTAAGGCCTCGAGTACCCTTGTTGAATGAATGGACTGTTCTCCTACTGTGGCTGCACGGCCCCTCTCTCAGCTGCTCCTAGCCAGCCCTGGACCCTCCCCCTTGCTGACCCCTCCTCCCCCGCCAGGACACCAGCTCCCTGCCCTCAGCTGGACAACTCCCACCTACCTGCAGGGGGCAGCATGGAGGCCTTTTCTGACTGCTCCTGCCACAGCCTCCCCCTCAAGCCCTCAAGCCAGGGATGGGATAGGCGAGAGCTTTCTTGTTTGTCTGCCCCAGGGAGGGTCTATGGATTCAACCAAAAGGACCTCAGCTCCCTGGGGTGCCCCATCCCCACCCCAGCCCAGGGGGCCTCCGTGAGGATCCAGAGGGATGGTTTCTGGAGAACTGGGTGGTGGGAGGCCGCACCCTTGGCTGGGGCCCTATGTACCTGATCCCTGTGGAGCTGAATGCGTTCCTGGAACACGGTCCAGACAACCGTCTCTTGGCAGCCTGGAGTGGTAAGTGAGCCCAGGTAGCGGTAGTAATGCCTCAGTTTCTCCTTCTTGGGGAGCAGGTCGAACAGGCTGATGCTCTCTTTCATCGTGGTGTTCATCGCTGGGGCAGAGGTAGGTACAGAGGACACCGTCGATTGGCGGGGGAAGCAGGGGATCCCTGAGAGCCCCGGCCACCGCATCACCCCAGCCCTTCCTCTGTAGGAAGAAGTCTCCTTCCCTCCCCTCCCCCCCAGCCACTCACAGGGTCTGGGGACATGAGACAGCGCCTCCACCAGGGGCTGGAAGCCATCATTCTCCTCAGATCTGACCTGGAACAGAAGGGGAGGGGGCTTGAGAGGGACCCGTGGAGAGCCAGTGCTGACGACCAGTCCATTCTCCTGGTCTGGGGTGGGGAGGGCAGGCAGCTTCTGGGACTGAGGCCCTGAGAGGCTCTGGCCTCCCCACCTGGGGGTATACAAGCTGCTGAGAAACAGAGGGCAAGTCGGGGCCCCCCAGCCCCCGTCCCGCCTTGCTGGAATCCCGGATCTCTGGATCCTAAGCAGCAGCTTCTCAGCCCCTGGGGGATGAGGGTCCCACCTCCACCAGGAAGGCCAGCACTGCAATCTCATCTTTGGAATCCTGGGCCTCTTTCTCGTTCCTCGATGTCCCCTTCTCTTTCTCATGTACTATGTGCATCTGGTGGGGGAGGGGAATGGAGAGAGGCCCTGTGAGGGGGCTGGAGCACCCTTCTTGCCCAAGGCAGGTCCACCCAGAGCCCAGCCAGGCACCGCCCTGGAAAAGGGCCCTCACCTCCATGGCAAAGCGACCCCCATCGATGGTGTGCTCTGAGCCCCCATTCAGCCCCTCGGACCAGTGCAGGTGCAGCTGTGTGGCCCGGTACTGGGCAGTCAGTCCTCCTCCAGTGACGGAAGCCTCGCCCTCCAGCAACACCATCACTGGAGGGCACAAGAGGGGGCTGAGTCCTCGCACCCACCTCCCCTAGCCCCTCCCAGCCCCACCCACACAGAACCTTCTCTCCTGCCCCCCACCCTTCACAGGCTACAGTCCTGGGCCCCGCAGGGACAGGATGGGATCAGCCAGGTGGTACAGCCCAGACCTGTCGCTGGCCGCGCGCTGCCTCCCGCCCCTGCCCCGGCCTGCCTCTCCCTCTGCACACCCCCCGCTGCCCCAAACATGCACCTCAGCCCAGTCCCTCCCCTGCTTCAAGCCCCTCCCTGATGCTGGGGCCTTCTCAGTGTCCAGCCTCCTCAGCCCCCAGGTGACCTGCACCTGGGCCCAGTTCAGCTGCTCCTGGCCTGACTCTGGCCCGTCCTAGTTCCGCTCTCGGCCTGCATGCACACGGCGCCACACACGATTTTCTGAACACCCCAAGCCACTTCACACCTCTGCGCCTTTGCCATATCGTTCCCTCTTCCTAGAACGCTGCCCGCCCCTCCTCCACCCAGACTGCCCTGGTGAAAGTACTGAAGATACTGTGAAGTGCTCCTTCCCTTCCGAAGCCCGGCCTGTTTCCCCTACCCCCGACCCCTGGGCTTTGCAGCCCCTCCGCAGCAAAGGTGGACGTGGAGGAGCCCCCCAGCCCCTGCCTGCCCAGGTCCCCCCTTCCACCTGCCCGAGACCCACCTGAATGCCCGTTGTTCTGGACTCTCCACTTTTGCTTCTTGTCATAGCCAGAGAAGGAGAAGGGTCCCAGGGCTGGGTCTACCTGTGCCTTTGTAGTGACAATGTTGATGGGGGACTGGCGGTTCTTCTGGCAGTCTTCACCCCACTGGCTAGGCCCTGAGCAGGGAGGAGGGGTCGGCTGAGAGTCAGGGGCACATGCACCTCCTCAAGTTCAAGGAGGGGAAGGAGGGAGTGCTTGGAAGCCGTGAGTGGAGTCCCCTGGAAGGGGACCTAGGAAAGGACAAGCTGACTAAGAGTAAACATTATCTGACGGCTTGGAAGCGGGGAAGGAGACCCTGGAGGATGCTGATTCCCTGAACACAGGTGGTTGGGGCTTGGGGAGGGGGCAACACTGTTCAGTCACTGAAACAGGCCGTAGGCAGCAGGAGGGCAGACTGCAGGGAAATGGATCAACGGTTGAAAAATAAATGCTAAGGACAACCTCCCAGGTCCACCCGAAGAGGTGCCACTGGAATAGTACCAACTCTCTATTTTGTTCTAAGAGCCCAATGCGGGGCACCCAGCTGGCTCAGTTGGTGGAGGATGTGACTCTCGATCTCAGGGTTGTGAGTTCAAGCCCCAGGCTGGGCAGGGAGCCTACTTAAAAAAAAAAAAAAAAAGTAAAATGTGTCTCTATATCTGATGCTACTGCTGATTTGTTTGTTAGAACACTTCCCCTCTTAGTGACAATGACAGGAGATGCCAGGGAAGACTCGGGTCACTCTACCTTCCCTGTCCTCTGAACACCAGGACTGTGTGTGTGTGTGTGTGTGTGTGTACACGTGTGCGTGCGTGTGTGTGTGTGTGTTTGAAGAACTGATATCTGACTGGGGGACCATCATTACCCTTATCCTTCCCACCCTCCCTGGGTTTTCATTTTGACTTGGGCAGTCCCCACCACGCAGAAAAGCCTGTCCCCAGGACTTGCTGTACTCACCCAAGCAAGTATAGTTGGAGGCCTTGGCTTGAATCTCGTAGCACCAGCGTGACTCTGGAGTAGACAGAGGAAGGCTATGAGGCCTGTGTTTAGTGTATTTGCGCACACACGTGTCTAGGAATAGAGCTGAGCTGTGTGCACATAAGCAGCACTCTGTGTGTGTGTGTGTATGTGTACACAGTGGGTCAGAGACTAGGAATATCTCTGGAATCAGAGACCCCCTTGGGTTGGGGTAGAGCATTCCTGAAGTCTGGGACAGAGGCCCAAAGGAAGGAGACTTGAGAAAATATAGGGATGGGGAGAGAAGTGGTAGAAGCAGCCAGGCCCCAGGTGACCCATGGCTGATCAACTGGTCATCGTGCCCAGGGCACTGGTCCTCAGGCTAAACAGCCACTCTTGAGGGGCATTGGGAGGTCCTCTGAGGCCCTCGCTGCTACCCCCGGGCTGGCCTTGCAGTTGCTATCAGCCTCCTCCTCCTCCCTTTTATCTCCCACCCCAAACCTGGAAGGGAGGTTCTGGCGAGAGGACAGGAAGAGATTTAGGCCCAGTCTCCCCTCCTGGGACAATAGAGCCAAGTTCAGCTTGGCTGCCTTCCCAAACTTGATCCGGCATGATGGAGATTAGACTAGCTCTTCCCTGGAACACACGCTCTTGTGTGATTAAGACCCATTCTGGACTAAACTCTCACAGCCCACCAGGGAAGGCAGTCAAGCCTTTTCCCCTGTCCCACCACCCCAAAATCCTGGGACACGGGAGCAGATTCGGGTTCTAATCCCAGCTCTGGTTCAGGGCAGTAGAACCAGCATCCCTGAAAAGAGGCTGCACTGCAAACATACTACACTAAATGCAAGATATTACCCAACAGGGGAAACTGCCAGGGCAGGGCGCCTTGGAACCTTCTGCGCTTTCCCTAAAACTGCTCTATAATTATAGTCTATTGATTTAAAAAAAAAAAAAAAAAAAAGGCTGCAGCAGTAGGATGGACAAAACATTTGATCCAGAACTGGAATTCTGGCTGGACCATTTAGGGGCAAGTCACCTTAATCTCCCTGAGCCTCAGTTTTCTCATCTGTCAAATGGAGCTAAGAGCATCCGCCTCATTGGGCTGTGGGAGGATTAAATGAGAGATGGTAGAGTCGTCCAGGCAGCCTAGAAGCATAGTAAAGTCCCCAGTGAGTCCTTACTTTCCCCGGCCTCCCTCCCATTGGCCTCAGATCAGCGCGCAGATGGCCAAAGCCCAGGCTGGGCAGAGAGGAGAGAAATGAAGTGAGCTGGAAAGAAATCAGGGATGAGAAAATTCCCAAGAAAAGCACAGCTTCCCACTCAGCCTGAGCTGAGGCCTCTGAACACCTCCGCCCCCTTCTTTTGGGGCTGCCTCCATCCACCCCACCTCTGCTGGGGTCTCTGGAATGAGGCCAGGGTTGGGCAGGAGCCAGGAGGAGGTCAGGTTCTCGGTAGGGGAGGGGACGAGGGGCTCCAGGCCAGGAGAGTGAGCATCCCCAGAAAATGGAGCACCTTCTCGCTCCAGGCCCCTCAGAACCAGCTAGGGCTTTGCGTTTGCCAGCTCTGGGTCCGGGGCTTCACTGGCCGCCTGCCATGCCAGTCCGACCGCTTTCAGAATGTGCCGGTTCCTGCAGTGTCCTCCCCACGTCTTCCATCCGCTGCCCCCCACCCCCCCCACCGAGGGGAATTTCCGCATCCCAGGAACCCCCGTGTGGGTCAACTCTGCAAGGGGCAGAGGCCCCTCTCTGCAGGTGGCCAGAGCTGGGAAGTTGGAGCCTGCTCACCTGGCTCAGTCCTGGCTCAGTCCTGGCTCAGTCCTGGCTCAGTCCTGGCTCAGTCCTGGCTCTGGCTCTTGCTTCATCTCTACAGGAGAGTTCATTAACTTTCCTGAGCCCTCCATTCTACCTCAGGCAGAACGAACTGCTACCGAACAGCCCGGGACTGTGGTCGGGGTCTGAGGAGACGAATGGAGCTCACTTGTAACCGTTAAAAGGCTCCTTGTTGTAATTCACCTGTGTCCTCCCCTCTCAAAGGTCCTGAAGGCAGAAGGGGCCTCCAAGGTTGACTGGAAGCCCCAGTGGAAACTCTTCCAGGGGAAGCCTTGCTGAAGCCAGAGTCCTGAGGAAGGGCGGGCCCTTCTCTCAGCCTCCCCAGGGCCCATCTGGTTCAGGCTGAGCCATTCTCAGGAACGTGCTCTTCCCTGACTCTGGCGACAGCTCCTTGTTTTGTAATGGTGACCTCTGATCCACTATCTTAATCACGGAGACTTTCGACCCGTGTGGCTGAATGCTCTTGTAACTACCCTCTTCGGGAGGCGAGAACCAGGCAAACAGTGTTGATGAGGCCAGGGGTCAGGTCTATGTCCATGGGCTGAGGTGGCAGGGTTATAAACCAGCTCAGGTTCCTGTAGTCATTCATGAGAGGGCTGCCCTTGCAAATAATGACAAGCCTGCCGCCTCAGTCCATCTCCAGAGGGCCTGGAAAGGAGAGAGGGGCTCCCCACAGACAGATCTTGGCTCCAAGCTCCAGGTTCTACCTAGGTGACCCACCCGGACCAGGGATGCAGTCATCAACCATCACCAATCACCCAGCCACTGTCCCCCACCCTTGACTTGCCCCCCCATCCCCTTTCTTTAGAGTCGACTCAAGAAGTTCTCTCTGATGGACCTTGCTCACTCTACCCATCCCCTCTGTGGGGAAGAAGGAATCCTGGAAACTAGCTCAGCAAAACCCAAGTATGTCCTGGCAAAGTCTCAGCAACTCCCGGCCAGGGTTCTGGGGCCCCAAAGACACCTAGGATCCTCTCCCCTCCTCCTCCCTCCATGGCAGCACATGCTCTGGGTCACCTGATGTGTATCCTGGTCACTCTCCAGCCTCAAGTGTCCCAGGGGATGAAATGGGTAGAGGAAGACAGGCCCCAAGACGGTTTCCAGTCAGAAAGCCCCAGCGCTTAAGGGGAGCACAGCTTGTAGGAGGGGGCAGCTGAGCTAGATTCCTGGCTGGCTGGCCCCAGGCCGGTGGTAGAGCATGACACCATCACGCACGGGGAGGGGGGGGTCTGCCACGCGCCACTCAGGTACCGCACGAAGCACTTACAGCCACTAGCTCACCTGAATCCTTAAAACACCTGAAGTCAGAATTCTCTCTATATTGTGAGAAAACTGAGGTGAAGTGACTTACCCAGGGCCACACAGCTACAAAGTAACGGAATTAATTGCAAAGTGTTTCTCTTTTCCCTTTCTACTGAGCCCAGCCCCTTAGGTAGGTTTCAAACTCCATGGTTACATATAAATTTTTTCACATCCCGGCTTTCCTCTTTTCTCCTTCCTCCTCTCCTAGGAAGAAGCCAGTAGTTTCTGCAAGATTCCCCTCATCCCCTCCACCACACACACACACACACACACACACACAGCTAAATCTTTCCTGCAAAGGGCACATTCCTGCAAAAGCCCCTCTCCTTCTCTGCTGCCGAGGGCACCCTCACCCCTCACTCCACGACTCCAAGAAAGGAGCATCTAGCTTTGGAGAGGAAGTTTGGCCAGCTGGACCCGAACGGGGGACCATCGGAGGGCTAGCTGAGCCGGGGACTGGCGGATGAGGGCTTCCTGCAGAGGAGATGGTCCCCTGTGGGGCCGCAGAAAAGATGCCTCCCTGGACCCCTGTGCCCAGCCGTGGGGTTGGAGGCGCTTTCAGCTCCTTATCAAATATTAACACACAACCCCTGCCACCTCCCACCTAGGCGAATAATTAAGAGCTCGGTCACATAATTAATCTTTAAACGAAAATCACCCTGGCCGGAAAGACCGGCTCGGCCAGGGCCTCGGGTCTCCTCGTGCCCCCACCCCGCCCCCCGCCGCAGGCTCCCAGTAGGGCGCTGGGGGCTGGGGAGGGGAAGGGGGCCCGGCAGCCTCGGGTGACAAGGAACCCAGGGTGCGAAGCGGAAAAGCCAGGTCTCCCGTGCTCTGGGCGGGGGGCAGCCCCTCAGCACTGAGCCCCGGCGGGACGGACAGCGACCCAGGGACAGGCTGAGGACCAAAGGCGCGGGCAACGCCAGAAAAGGCGAGAACGGCGGCGCGCGTCGAGGCGGGTCGGAGAAGCGGCCACATCACTGACTCGCACGCTCGCCGGGCCGAGCGCCCCGCAAGCCCCGCGAGCCCCGCAGCCGCGCACACGCGTGC